AGACCTTGAGGTTGCCCTTCTGCGAGGAGCACGGGTTCCAGTGCTTCCGCCGGTGCACATGGGGGATCGCGTTGTTTCCCTTCGGCATAGGCGCTGCAGCTCTTGTGTCACAGAGAAATTAAACACCAAACAAAGAAAAGACAGAGCATCACAGTGACGAGAAAACCGCACCAGCCGGCGTAGGAGCACATTTCCCACTTCAGCAATACCAGTAGACATATATCATGGAAAGAAAAACAAAATCAGCGAAAAGAGAGCAGGTATTGATACCATTCAGCGCAGGGATATTACTTTTTCTCGTTCTCCTTCGCCTCCTTGCGCTCCACGCGCGCCTTACGGGCACCGAAGAAGCGGACAGCGCTGTGGTTCTTCTTGAGGAACTTGTACACGTTCTTCGTGCGCTCCTCCTCCGTCACCTTGCGCGGCGCCTCGGGGGCGGGCATCACAAGACCACCAACAGCCGCCGTGCCGAAGCGCGTGCGGTCCTGCGTGGCAGCCTTGACCTCCTCCTCGGAGGCCTCGCCCTTCTGTACCTTCTTGTGGCTCAGAGGGAAGAGCACCAGCTTGCTCATGTACGTCTTCAGGCGCTGGATGTTGATGTGCATGCCCTCCTCACTCTTGTTCTTGCGGCGGCGGTCCACACGGATGCCGATGGTGGCGGCATAGCGGGGGTTCAGGTCAGCTGCCTTGAGCTCCTCCAGCGTGAAGCCGTGGCCAAGGCGCTTCTTCATGTTGTGGCGCACCGTGGGGCAGTTCACCTGTGGGCGCAGCAGCTTGAGCGGACGCGGGAAGATCTTCTTCGCCTTCAGCAGGCGCAGGCGGCGGCGGCGCAGCTTCTGCGCGGGCTGGTTCAGGAAGACCTTGAGGTTGCCCTTCTGCGAGGAGCACGGGTTCCAGTGCTTCCGCCGGTGCACATGGGGGATCGCGTTGTTTCCCTTCGGCATTTTCTCGGCCTACTCTTTCCTTTGTTTTGTTGTTTATTGAACGGGTGCAGAGCAACAAAACAAGATAAGAAAAAAAAAGGTGAGAAGAGCAGCTGAGTAAGAAGGAGAGGTGAAAAGCGTGGCCCGATGTGTTACCAAGGAAGGAGATGTCAATGTACGAAAGAAGGAAACAGTCTGAATAAATAAGAGAAAACGAGATGCAAGGGTAAATGANTGTGTTACCAAGGAAGGAGATGTCAATGTACGAAAGAAGGAAACAGTCTGAATAAATAAGAGAAAACGAGATGCAAGGGTAAATGATGACGTACCCAAAAATCTTAAGAGGCATATATAAATATATAAATACATGCCAAGAAATACTATCCGACCCAGGGAATATGATCCTTTGGCCAACAGAATCCTAGTTAATCGTCACTGAATTCTTCGCGCGGTCCTCCTGCGTCTTGCTCTTGTTCACTTCCACTATCAGCACAGAATCCCGCAGGCGGGCCTTCACGCTGTCCTCCTTGGGGCGCGACGGCAGTTGCACACAGCGCTCGAACCGCCCCGATCCACGCTCCGACATGACGGCGAGGTGCTGCTCTTCCTCCTTTAGCAGCGACTTGCGGTTGCCACCAATGCAGAGGCGGTTGCCCTCAATATCGACGGAGATATCCTCGCGGCTCATCCCCGGAACGTCGGCGAGGATCTTGTAGCTGTCTGGATTCTCGATGATGTCGATTGCTGGGGCCCACGAGCCACGCGCAGTTGTTGCAAAGAACCCCGAGCCTGTGGCCGACTGCAGGCGGTTCAGCAAACGGTCCATATCACGGAACGGGTCCCACATGTTTAGCTGTTTGTTTGTCGCCTTTTTGTTGTTCTTTGGCTTTTGTTGAGATGAATGTTGGTTGATATAAGCACCTGCCCAAGAACAAAAAAGAAAATGGAGAGAGGAAAGAAGGGTGGTCCGGCTCGCAATAACAAAAAAAAGGAAACCTGAGGCAGCACGTACGGCATGTGATGACACTACGAAAAATAAGCGGGAATTCCAAAAGCACCGCCTTAAACAACCAAGCCAATTGTTTTTTCTTCTTATTTTCTTCCGGTTGTTGTTGGTGTTGTTGTTGTTGTTTTTGTGTTGTTGTTTTTGGACGATATGTGCAAGTGAATCAGCAGCATGCTTAGCAGAACGTGGAAATTCTCGAAGCTGGCGTGCGCTGCAGCAGCAAACGTGCTTCTCCGCTATTTTCGCATCCTCACAGAGCCATGCACATCACATAGAAAAGGGGGAGGGGGAGGGGAGGTGGAGTGAATGAAATGCATATACCACGATCGCACGCAACAAGGGAAATGAGACGCGTGGAGCTACAAGTTTGGGCCCTCCACTCGGCACGCACAAAACTGCAGTCCACTGTGAAAGATGGTTATCATAAGTATTTACATTATCCATCTAAAGAACCCATTCAAGGTTCCAGAAAAAAAAAAAAGGAGCTTCGCTGTTGGATACAAGTAAAATAGGGTAAAATAGGGCAAATAATAGAGGAATGAGCGAGTGGGTAAGGAAAGTACAGTTCATTCGCGCACGCTTAAACGCTTCCGCCGTGCTCTTCCTGGTAGCTCTGCCATGCCTCCTTGTTGTCGCTGCAATATTGCAGCGCGAAACGTAAAGATGGAAGGAACTCGGAGAGTGCCTCAACCATGGGAATAACTATATACATCATAAAGGAAATTTGACCCTTTGGAAAATCTACTATTTCTTTTCGGCGGTCCATGAAGGGGGAAACAGTGAGATTGCATGCCACCTCCGCATCACCCTGGTTGTAAAACTCATTGGCGATATTCCTCGCCCACTCCGCGTAAATGTAGTGAGGGCGTGCGCAGTTTGAGATATCAGCCATTTTGATGCTCATCGAGAGCGCCAAGCGAACGTCTTCCTTGTTGCTAAACCAATCTGTTGTCTCTGCCATACGTACTTGGAAGTTTTTGAAGATACGGCCGTGGTTCCCCATGTCCGTGGCTAGCACCATCTCGATCATTGTCTCCCGAACAGCAAGCAGTTGCTCACTGCTAAGCGGCGCGAAGATGTTGTACCGCGGGTTTCTAATCATTTCGAAAACGCAGGCAATATGATGGTTTTCAAGGATAGATCGGTCATTGTACAGTGTGCTCAGATACGCATTCGTTTTGGTGTGAAAATTGTTGTTGAGACCTGGATGGTCAAAGTCGTGAATTGCCCCAGCGAGTAGACCCGCTAGAAGCTCCTCTTTGCTTAGTTGGCACTTCTCCTTCAGTCCCGCCACAACCATGATGTAGTAATTGATTTGAGTGACGTCTGCAGCGTGCATGGCGTTATGATACGGGTTAGGATGGTAGCCCGCCTGAACACCAATGAGAAAACGCTGCAACACCGCATCAGCGAGGTGGAAATGCGCCACAAGATCCATCTTATAAAGCAACATATAAGTTGTATAGAACAGCGCGTTGCCATTCGTTATAATATCTAGTTGTATTGTGTCGTAATCCCATCGGTCCACGCCCCGGAAGATCTCAAACACGTCTCTCACCATTTGGCGTGAGGTGGTCGCTAGGAGAGGCTGCAACTCGGGGAAGTCTAGGACGGTGATAATACTATCAATTTTGCTCCCAGGGGTAAGAGGGAATGCGGCACGGATGCACGCCAAGAGGGCTTGATCCACATTCTCTTCAACAGGGTAGTGCTCCTCTGCCTGAGGAACGTGCTGGAAGTACTGCGCTCCACCATTCTCGTATAGCGCATCTAATGGATGCTTGTGTATTTGTCCTTCACTCAGCATATGGAGCTGCCGTTCGAGGGCCTTGACCTCGAGGGCAAGCTTTATTGTATTTTGTGCTGTAATGGCTGATTCCTCCCGCAATGGTCGAAGAATGACAAGAAGCTCTTGGGCCTTCTCTTTGCACTTTCGTGCACTCGCCAACTTTACAACGTAGTCGCACTCCAACTTTTTCAAATGAGAAACGCGGTTTTTCATATCAGCGGCGCATTGGCTGATCCGCATCATGCGTATCATCGGTTCTAAGAAGTACTCAAATACCACACCGCGGTTTGGAGAGTGTCCTGATCCTGAGACCCGATCAAGAGGGCAAAGATACACGTATTTTACACCTGGTTGCTTGCTATTGACAACAGTGAATTGAACTTCTCTCGTATCGTACGTGGAAGCTCGCACAGTTGCCTTGTTCTTTAGCACATCTGATGCGAGTGACTTGAAGAATGGGCCCCACGGAAACGGTATGCCGGCGGCCTCCTTTGACGCCAGCAGTTCATTGTTAGTGAAGCGCCGCGCAAACACAGCGCCGTTCTTCTCATCGCGGTACGCAATGGTGAAGTCCCCTGTGTTTGGCGCACAGAAGAGCAGCAGCGTTCCGGTCGACACCGCGCTGCCCCTCTGGCGGTCATCCATGGCGACAGCGCCCGACTCTATAATGTACTTCTCCTTCCCCGGCATCCGCATCGGAGCCTCGGCAGGCACGGTGGGGGAGAAGCCGTCCAACTTCGGCGGCAGGCTCCCTGTACCGTCACTCAGTAGAGTTGGCAGCGGCCCGCTCGTCGCCTCCTTTGTCGCGCCGCAGCCCATCACACCGCCCTCACCACGTATGTACAACTGTGTGCGTGTGTGTGTTCCTATTATACCTCTTACTCACCCTCGAGGGACGAAATCATCGCATGAAGGAAAAACAGTGAAGAACAGGCGGTATTGAGAAAAAAAAGTCAGAGCAATCCAGGCATATTTCTCCCACTATCTCGCCGATATTTCGATATTACTTATTATTCCTTGTTAACTATCACCCGTCTTCCTCATCAGTGGCTCACTCTACACGGTCGGCAGCAGCAGTCACCAGATGTGCTTGCAAAGAGGCATGATAGCAGACGCCCCCACCCCTCGCCACACCAAATATATATTTAATAAGAGGAATAATTTCGAGTGAAGAACACACGACATTCACCGTCAAGCAGATTTACCGTTCCGCAATACTCCACAAAGCGAATATGGAGTCGAGACACCTCCCTCCCTCTATCCCTGCATAGCGACGCATTGAACCAAAATATCCAAACGAAAGTCCCGCCAATCCCTCAGTATCCAAAACTTGTGAAATATAAAGCGCGTACTTCGACGCCAACCTCCCATTCAGCGAGTCTTGAGAAACATTTAAGTGAATGTACACCAGTGGTAGCATCGTTGGATGCCCCAACGGCAGCAGTACCATCTTTGTCACTACATGGGCCAGAAACCTCAGACGCCAGAGTGGCAACCGCACCATCGAAGCGCCCACATCCCACCTCTCTGAGAAAGTCAAAGATGCGTAGCACTTCACCCTCTGAAGCGCCGCCATACGACTAAGGCGTGTGAAATTTTCAAAAACATCCGCTCCACTGCAGCAAACTTGCAGTCAGAAGAGGCGCGGTACCGCCACTCACGCCTGTGCCGCGGCCACCTCACACCTGCAGGCGAAAGAGAAGGAGAACGCTCACCAGAAATACGAGAATCAAGGCACCAACTGCAAGTCCAGCCCTGAAGAGGTGTGAAGTCCTTCAATATACAGCAAGTGAAGAATGCAGCACGTGATAGAGTGAGACAAGAAGAGATGTGAACAAGGATAGCCTCGAAGGGTCTGCCTTCTCCACACGTATGCGTGCAGCCGCAGTTGCCGACAGCAAAAAAAAAGGCCAAGCGGCACCTCCGACCTCTGGTAGGGGTGCCACCCAACTCATTCACGGCCGCCTAAAAACAGACCACACCCATCATTGGATGGACGCAATCGCTGAGGTAAAGAAAAAAAAAAAACGAACGCCATGACGCACAACATAGAAGTATGCCCAACACAACAGGCATGTTCCACATCACGCTGCAGCAGCGCGACCAAACAAAGGAAAAAGCAGCATTAACAAAACGCATTGATTTAATAAATCCCCCCCCCCAAAAAAAAAAAAGAAACGAAAAGAAAAAGGGGCCCTTTCTCGCTTCCGTTGTGTACCCAGCGGGGTAAAAAGTTCCTCCATAGAGCGCACCTGTTCCTACGGCCGAAGAGGGACCTGGACGGTTTGTCCGAATAACAACAACAGGAAGGAGTGTCCGCCTCAACAATGATTTAGAGGGGGATGGGACAAGGCGCCTACTTAAAACGGAAAACGGGAGGAGACTGACGCACAGGGTTAACAGGGCGAAACGGTTGTTGTCGCCTTTCTCGAGCAACTGAAGACTCTGTCGAAACGCCTGGCGATCCAGTGTGCCTCCTCGGCGTGGCCAGTCGATTGATCGTGGGGTTGTTTGTCGGTATTGTAGCGCACGGCACATGCGACGACGGATGCGAAGAGCGGCGGATTTGTCTTTCCTTCGACTCCTCTGTAAAGTTCAGCAGCCGGCCATAATTGGGCGACGGTGGGGTGATAATAGTGTTTGCGGGCCCACGGGGAAGGGCAAGTTTCTCGATGCGCCTGCTCGTTTCGAAGACGGTGATGCCGGGACGAATGACGCTCTCGTCCGAGCCGCGCCGCACCCCCGCGTTTGGTCGCCGCGCCGAAGAGGACAGTGCCGAGCACCTGCGCTGCGGCGGGGAATCCAGGTACTCTCGCAGCGGCGGCACGAGGGGGATGATACTGCTCGGGTGCAGACGCCCCGCCTCCGCTTGGCGCTGCTGCTTCCGCGCGGCATCCCTGTACAAACATGCAAAAACATCACGCCGCAGCTCACCCGCGTTTGGATCTTCGTGCGCGAACAGAGACGCATGGTCGCTCCTTGGAGCAGCGCTCTCTGTCAGCATCTCCGGGTGTTGACCAATTTCGGTTTGTAGCAAAAGAAAAAAAAAGGAACGGTACTTGTAGCGGCGCAAAGCACATCGAGGAAGGGAAGAAGGTGGCAAAGGAAGGCAAAAAAAAGGGATAAAAGGGTATCAGCGTGACGTTGCATATAGCAGTTATAATTTTCACACACGTCATTGCGCAGAAAGTGAGCGCACAAACGTACCTTTTCTCGCGTTTCCCCGTTTGTTTCCCTCTCCACCCTCCTTGAAACTTGTTAGTGATGGAAAATGCAAATGTACACCATGAATGAGACACTAGTGGAAGGTCTTCAATTTCGTCTAAGAAGCAAAAACAAAATAAGTGGGACTCTCAAGAGGACAGCACTAACGTGCCTGTCAACGGTACAAAGATGGAGGCATGCAGAGCGATGCCTCCGTGTCGTCAGTGCCTCCACTCGCCACCGTGTTATAGATGCGATTGTATATGCGTTCATACACCGATAGATCATCCCTGCCTTCTGGCAGCAGCGCCTCAGGCTTTTCCGGCGACATGAGCGGCACCTGCGGGGGTCGCCTCAGACTGCGCACCGGCACACTCTCGCGGCGACCCAGCGCAAACTCCCGCGGCGTTGTCGTCGCCGGTCGTGGAGCACTCGACGGGCGTCGCTGCAGCCGCGCCTCCCGCTCCCGCCGGAGGCGACGCGCCTCCTCTTGTCGCTCCAAGTACTCCTGTACGCCCCATGCGGTGCCGTCACCGCCGTACACGCTTTCTCCGCGCGAGGAATTCATCGGCGTGGCCTCGCGCTCGGGCCTGAAGCTGCAGCCCCTCACTTTCTCCGCCTCTTTGCGCTCCCGCAGTTCCCGCAGTCTCCCTTCTCTACGCACAAGCCACTTTTGATTGCGCTCGACCACACTCTCTGACCCTCCGACCGTCGGGCCCCTACCGTTCGTGACGGGTGCAAAGGTGCACTCCGCACGTTGACGCTGCTCTTGTTCTTCCCGCAGTCGCCTGAGTTTTTCGAGACGGCGCTCCTCGTACGATTGAAGTGCCTCTGCCATAGATTCCGGGAGTGAGGCCACACGAGACGCACCACCATCACCGTTGCTGCTGTCCTGGAAAGATGGAGCAGTCATTGTCGTCGCCGTCGCTGCTACCGTTGCTGCCGCCGTAGCAGCAGCCGGGTCTACATGTCTAGGCGTTTGCCGCGGGTGACGATACAGACGCTCAAGAGATGTCTCGGGAAGCTTCGCCGCAATGGCCTCACTCACCGGATTAATAGCAGGCTGGTGGCGCCGTAACTCCTGCTCCTCCTCTCGGTGCCGCTTTTCCTCCTTCAATGTCAGGCTTTGTATGTGCTTCTGCATTAGTTCATCTTCAACACTATGAAACCTCGGGGTCACAGCTGCGTATGGACTTATTCTCGGTGTAAAAGGGGCCACATCACCAACCAGCAACTCACGCTGTTTCCGCAAACGGCGCTCCTCCTTCTCATAGCTTTCTGCGTATAGTCGCTCTCCCACATCGCCGTTTCGATGCAGAGTGGCGGCGTATAAAGTAATCTGAGGAGTTGGTTCTGTCTCTTTTTCCAGTTGATGCTGCTCCCATCTCTTCATTTGCGCGATGCGATCCCGCTCAAGCATAGCCTCAACTCCACTGAGGCCGGAGAGACCCTCCTTTTCCCGACGGCGAGCCGCAAGCCTCTCCGAGTGGGGATTAATCATTGGTGTCCCCTGAACCTCGCTCAGGTCCTGCAGTATCTTCGCCGTGCGTGCTGCCTCTTTACACTGCTCACGTCGACGGTACCAATCGGCGCGTGCCTCTGCAGCCATCTTTCGTGCCCTCGGCGTTGCAAAACGTCCTCTGCGAGATATGTTCGGCTGAAACGGCGCAATAGTGCTCATCTCTTTGAGCATTTCCTCTTCGCGGCGCCTTGCCTCACACGCGCGGCGTTCCTCCGCCTCTTTTGCGCGGAGGAGGAGGCGATTCTCTATCGGCTCCCCCCGGCGTGGTGTGTTTCTAAGAGATGCGTACGTCACGTTCGGTGCGGGGCGAAGCTCACTCAGTTCCTCTTCTATTGCCCGCTGCCTCATGGCTTCCTTCTGTTCCGCGGCGAGGCGCCCTTTATCAAGCAGAACCTCATGGATCGGCTTCCCACACCGGGGCCCAGCACTTTCCCTCTGACCGCGCGACGATACGGCACCGCCGCCTCTCGCGCTTGGTCCGGCGATAGCGATGGAGTGCCGCTCGCTGCCCATCTCTCCCTTCAGGCGAAGGCATTTTGGCAGCGGCGCCTCTAGAATGCTGTTGACGCGGTCCGCGAACAACCCCATCGAAAACGACGGTGTTTCACGCTGGTCATCAAGCCACAATTCCATCAATTGGTACTATATTCTCAGGTGTAAACACGGAGGAAAGGAATAATGAAGTAACAATGAAAATAAAGATAATTGTAAATAGTGAGAGAACGCGTTGCATGCATTAGCCTACATAACATGACCGTGAATTGGCGTTCGTACGCACTGAATAGTCTCGATTCGCCTTGCACCACTGTTTTATTTTTTTTTTCTTCTTGTTCGTTGTTGTTGTTGTTTTTTTGGATTGGTCTTCTTTTGTCGTTGTTTTCGGGTAGCGTGGCTTCCTCTGCTGCACTACTCCGTCGAATGCGCACTTACCCGGTCTTTTTTTCTTTGAATTCTCTCGTAATCACGATACGTGCAAGAGCTGGTGCAACACTGAAGGACGGTGGCCATCATCTGCTGGCAGCGTTTTGCATACAAAGCGGCATCGTTTCTCTCGTCGTCTGTTGGAGTGTACACGGGCAAAGCACGCACCTCCACATGCGTCACAAACTGAGAGCAGAGCCGCAACAAAAGATCACTGATATTGTTGCCACCGCACGCGCGGCCTGTCCAACACGGGTTGAAATGCTTATATGGGATGCTCACACAGATCATCTGTATAGGCTCGCCTGGCTCCATCGCCCCTTTCCTGAACATGAACAGAGCCCGCTGATTTGCTGTGGTTCCCTCAGGGAATATCATAATTTGTGGGGCCTTGGGGTTTCTATTCTTAGCGCGCTTCCTAATCGCATCGGCGGTATACTTGCGGGACTCGGAAGCGCCACGATCTACTGTAACGGCATCCATTACCCGTACGACATCAGCGAAGCAGGGTACCTTCTCAGCGTTCTCTTTCCGCGTGACAAAGGATGGGAAGTTCCCTATAATGCAGAGGATAGTCACCTCCATGATACAGGAGTGGTTACCAATCAAGATCTTGCACTCCGATCCATCAGCGACTCTTCCAAAGAGTTTGACATGATAGATACCCGCCGCTGCTGCGCCAATATGAGCAAAGACGCAGGCAATATTGCTCCATATTGCAAACCAATAAGGGTTGTCGCGGCGGTTTCGCCCATTTAACCCGGTTAAACTAATTAGGTACATAGAAGTTACCGCGCAGAAAAAAAAACAGAAAATGCGCAGGAACAGAAGGCCTGTAACGACGAAGAACACAACCTTCGTTCGCTCATATAACGTCCAAGGCGTATCGTATGTCAAGGCGATTTCGGGACCAACCTCGGGTGGGTTATTTGTTAGGTAAGAGTCATCGAGAAGAAGTCTCCTAGGGCCACTAAAAACGAGATCTCGTATATTTTCAATCACAAAAAGCGCAACCAAAAATGTCAGTTGTAGAAGGAAGTACCGCCAGATCATCTCCGCCCAGGTGAAGTGAGAGAGAGCCACGCCGATCTCCGTTGGAGTTGGGGTGTGATCCCTAATCCTGTTTAGAGCTGCGCTTGCATGATTCTTAAAATCCTCCATTTGGACACGCCCATCACCGTTAGAATCCAACTTCTCCATCATCCTTCGCATCGTCTCATTCACTGTTTCCTCCACGAAGCATCTGTATTGGAGGGTCGTCGAGCGTATGGTCTCCATTATACGCTCCTCTGTTTCAGGGGGTCCAAACGACTGCCTACAAAGAATCAACATGATGAGAAGGCCGATGGGTAGCCGTAAGAATTGACTTAAAAACATAATGAATGTAATTAACTTCTGAAGAAAGATAGATAGGTACTAGTGAATAGGATGAGAAGAAGAAGGAAGAACAGAGAGAATTTATTGTTACGGAGCGATCCACCACCGCCTTACAATACATTAAAGAATAAACGCCACGCACAACGTGACAGAAGAGCAAATGAAAAACACAGGCTTTATTTTTTTGTCTGGTTATAGTTCTTGTTTTGCTTCAATTGTGGAGTTTCTCTTTTCTTCGCCTCTTGCCGCAGCACAACTAAAGCCTTTTTTTTTTCTTTGTTTCGTTGCGACGTCAAATTCCCGTCGACCTGGGCTTTGGTCTCCCGCTCCGGGTCTACCGTATCCCACAAATAGTACAAGTCGTCTGTCTCATTGTAGCCAACATAATACAGAAATTTTGTGTCATTCTCATCGACCGACGCACAACGCCAGAGCGCAAAACATGTTGTTTCGCTTACACTATCTGTTTTGTGAAAAGCAAAGGCATCGTACCGGTAAGGGTATGACCGTGGATACATCGGCCCGTATCCTATTAAAAGCTCCTCGCCCTTCTTGGTGTCGCGTGCTGTCATGACACTTAGTCGCCCCTCAACATGCTTTGTCTCCTGTATCCATCCGCAGTTGCTCTCCTCAGACTCGCTTGGTTCATTGATAAACGGTGTGAATGTATCCTGCAGCTCTTCAAAGACGACGTTAAAATAATCCGCGCAGTTGAGATCAACCAGGGCGTACTTAGCAATAGGTCGCCCCAGCTTGGCCTGCTCCCCACTCAGTGCGTCAGTATAGCCTGGGTAGACGCCGATGATCGTGTGGGCGGGGATGTCTGCTGCGGCTACCACACCGATGCCGCCGCCCTTTTCTGGTCGCTTTGCCTTTGTCAAAGACGCGCACGAGGCCTCCGTCTGAAAGAAACCCGTGACAATGCGGCGCAGCCTTGCGATAAGTTTTGCGTCCTCCGCCGCCGAATGCGGCTGCTCCGCAGCGCTGGCAACGGCCAGCAACTCCTGGACCACGCACTGCGGGTACTCCTCCTTGATGGAAAGAGCACGGATAGATGCACGCCGCGCGTCGCACGGCTCACGGACTGCTGATGCAATCTCAGGAATAGGCACGTCCTCGCAGCTGAAGCACGCGCAGAGATGGGATTCGAAGCCGCGGTTTGCCGGCTTCGAAGCTATTTGCGCGTCAGTCGCCTCGTTGGAGCAGCCGCAATGCACCGTGCTCCCACAGCAGTAGCACACTTTCATGTCCTTGTTGCCCTCCGGCTGACGGCAGATAGGGCACAGCTTGTACACAGACTCAACCTGGAACTGAATGAACGCCCGCCACACGTCAGTGTCCGTCAGCTGCTGATACGGTGGATCGAGTTTTAGGGTGCTGTTCCAAATACTAATGCTGTACGTGTTATTCCACCAGAAGTATCGCTTTGATTCTTCATCTTCGTTGAGCGACCACTCGCAGCACGCGGTCGGCACCACATCAGGCATCGCTTCTTACGTCATACGCTCAATAGTAAAAATTTGGAGTTTATTGCAATATATGTACATACACACGAAAATGGAAGGAAGGGAGAGAAATAGGGAAGTGTATGGAAGAATACGAAGCAAATCGAAAGATATTACACTTTCATTTCTCTCCCAGAGATGACAAAGACAAGCTGATGCGAAGCAGATACTTCCTCCCAAAATACTGTTTCAATCATATGTCTTCACTGTACTTTACTGCACGACCTCGTATACATGTAAACAGAACGAAGCAGCCTGCAAAAATGAAACCCCACATTCATTTCTGAGAGAATGGAGAAAACGAAGAAAAAAGAAAACGACCGAACTTCACCCACACCAGATACAGGCATCAAATTACCAGCACAGTACAAGTGTGCCGTCTTGAGACCCCCGAGGCGTGGTGCACCTCCTGATGCAAGAGCACAGAACACAAAGCACAATGAATGAACGCAACGTATATATATATATAGGTGTATATATATATATACAGGTGTATATATAGTGAAGAAGCCTGGTAGAGAGCGCCGCAAAAAACAATCAAAAAAGGAGGGATTATGAAGAACAAAAGAGCAGTCTCCTCTTACACCGAACAAAAGAGCAGAGACCGAACAAAAAAAAACTAGACGGAAGCCATGACAAGAAGCAGAGGTTGTTGTACAGAAGAATTTTTTTTTTCGGAGTGCATACTGAAACCATATGTATGCGATATACCTTCACCTTGTTAGCGTGCCCTCCCTCTGCAGAGGACACGACGCGACGTAGCGAGGTCGCGGCGCGTCAGCGTTAGGAAAGCGGTCTTGCCTGAGTGTCAACACATCGACGGTTCCGCCCGTGTCGCACAGCACCGACCGCAGCTGCAGTTTTGGGTGGTGATGGAATGCCTCGACAGAAACTACGGGGCCACGCAAGACGTCATCGATGATGTCCGCAAGAACGAAAAGTGTAGTGTCAAACCTTGAACGCACCCCACTCTCACCGCGGAAGTCGGTGACAAGTATAGAATTTCGTGGACTCGCCCGCAAACAGTCTGGTGTATTGTCAATGATAATTGTACGATCAGATGGCCGTCCCAACGCGGTGATGTCCTTCACATAGCCCGGCTTCTCAGTCCACCACCTCTCGTGGCGATAGACGCAGTGCCGAATGCAGTGATGCAGATCAATCTTGCGTATCACTTCCATCGCGTAGTGTCGCTCTCCTGCCGTCCACACGATCACCTCACAGCGCCCTTGCAAAATGTCAAGGAGCCGGTACGCCCCCGGCCTTTGGATGATCGGTCCATTGCGTGAGTACACAAGTGTTTCATCAAGGTCTAGCACAACTACAAGTTTTCCCTCGTCAATTGCACGCATGGAGGGAAGAAAGAAATTATGAGTACCTGCATCGCTCCGTGTTGTGGGCCGGTATGATACCTCGTGCGGCAAGAAATGGCATCGATGTGGACTGTGCCAAGATTTCTGGTGATCACTATACTCCACAGGCCCATGACACTCATCTCGTAACGCTGTAGCCGAGGAGAAGCGGCGGTAGTCCCTGGCAAGAAACACACTTGGCTTTGAGCCGTAGCAAGAAGTTATGTCTCCCATCGGGTCGGATGGACGACGCAGAAACTCTTTTCTCTTAGGGGTGCCGCCTGCGCTTCTGCTCAACGATGATAAAACCGTCGCACTTGTGGGCCGCTCAGCAGCACAGCATGGCGTTGATGTATGCGTCGGCCGGCCCTTTTGTCGTAGTGAACTGTGGTGTGTTTGCGGCCCTGGACTGCCATCCCGTCTTCGCACGTACATTTTTTGCACCCACTTTCACCACCTACGAAAAAAAAACTTTCACTAAGGCGGAGGAAGAAAGGAAAGAAAATAAGAATATCAGCCACGGGTCTACAAACAGCAGTCTCGAAACACAAAATAATAATAATAATAATAATACATACATACATACATGCACTTTCACAGGGCAAACGCACCAAAAGAAAAGCGGGATAATATATCTACACACAGGTGTGCAGTAAACAACAAGGGGAAATTCCTCACGATCACGCCGCGATCTGCCCCTGTGCTTCTGAGAAAAAGCGCACAGGGACAACGCGTCGGGTGTCATGCACGCAATGCTCCTCCAGCCCACTGGCAGTAACGCCTGCGTCCGGGGGAATCCACGCTGACTGATACCCATGTGCTGGCCAATTCTTTCTAAGGTGGTGATTCCTCTTGTCGATGACCACCACACTGCCAACACGAACAACACACTCAACGATAACGGGACCGTAGTTGACCGCCTTCTTAACGTTTCTTGATAGATACACACCCTCCCCTAGAACCCCTTTCATAGACGGCTTAAATCCCTCCCGCATAATGTGTTTACACGCCTCGAGTGTAGTTCCGTGGAACATAATAAGCTCCTTCCCAGGCGCGCACTCACGCAAGTGTTGCGATAGAAGCGACGCTACAACTCGGGCACGGCAAACGTAGCATTCTTTTCTGTTCTCTGGGCAGTTGGATGCGTGCTCATCGTAGCAGAAAGTTGGGATCGCCTCAGCGCAGAACTCGCATGAACGCACATTGTTTGGGCACTGTTGTATGTGAAAAACAAGGCTCGATGAGTCAAGCGGTATGAGACACAATGGGCATTGTCGGGGTCCACGCGTAGTATCACAAGAGCCTAGGCATGGAATCATGCCCTGCGGCTTTGCTGCCTCACGATCCTGCGTTTGGCGCGACACAGCTGCAGTGCCAGGACTCGCTGCTCCTGGCCTACCATACCTTTTCTGTGTGTCCTGAAGAAGGGACTCGAGAACCGACGAAGTCCTCTGAGGCAGCATCCGCCCCCTCCCCTGTCAGCAGCGCCGCAGAAGAGGGACTGCCATGGTTATCATAAAAAAAAAAACACAAGTATATATATATATAAAGAAGCCATAAAGCACCTCCGCTCTCAAAGCAGCGCGGCTCGCCCCCCCCCCACATTGTCAAATACAAATAAAAGCGCATCAGAACAATGAAAGAAAAACGAAATCCGAGACACATGCAATACCCAAAAAATAGGATTTCATGCACTAAAAGCGAACACCTCGAAAGTAAACAGAGGCCGCTCGCACAAATATTGGATGGCATCCGTTTTGAGTTTGGGTATTTCAAAAAGCTTCGCAAAACCCCAGTGAGGATTTGGAGTGTTCTCTGATGTCGATGAGGTAAAGTAACGCTCTTCACGATCACATAGAAGAGTGAATTTGCAAAATGCATGCGCACAGCAGCTCCTTGGAATGCCAGTTGCACCTACAACATGGAGACAGAATCGTAATTTCCCGCCCACCAAAGCCATTGGATTGTCTTCGTGAACGGCCTGTGGTTCACAAGGGAAGAGCTGAATCTGCAACTTTGCTTCTGTCAGCACACCAGTCTCCGATAGCAGACCAATGAAAAATGAGCGTCGGTGTCCATGCAACACACTTTCGAGTGATATATCGCACTTACCCTTAAAGAACTGCGATGAGGATTTGTTGTCAAGGGATGAAATAAAGCCCTCTGATGCTGCCTCCACTCGCCTTCGCAGGGCAATGTTGCCTAGGCGAATATTATTGAGTGCCACCTCTAGTTTATCCTTTGTGGAGGAGAAACCCTCTGTAGAGCCCACCGTGTGGCGAAGAGAATCGCGCTCCCACACAAGTTTTCCAACCTCATCAAGCTTGTTTTGCTTCTGTCGCGCCAGTGCCTCCAACCTTCCTTCCAGCGAAGAGACTAGTTCCTTGAGGCGCTTCATCTCAACATTCTTCTTCGTATCATTTATTCTCACAGTGTTAGTGATGGCCATTGCGTTCTGAGCATACTCCAATGTAGATATAGTCTCGGTCAAATTAAATGCGGCGGGCGATAC